TTCGACTGAGATATATGTTTGAAGCTTTTCAAAGCGTTGTTAAAACCAAATTTCATAATATGTTCCCTATTTACTAAATACGAAGAATGGCTACTCCCTGCAGCTACTTCCCTATTAACAAAATGCTCAACAAAATCCTACTACCAATAGAAGGATTAAAATGCCATTCTATATTGATTACTGGAATTCTAGTAATTTCTGCTGTTAACAAGTCCCTTGAAACAATTTTTAATTCACCATCAACAGCCATAGCAGAATGCAACCTATTTTGACTCATGCTTACACAATTACCAAGCAATCTAAGAAAAGACTATTGAGTTGTAAGATTCGTAACTTCATATTAAACCAAATTATCACCACCACTACTACAACCACAATCTATTCAACCAACTGTATTACATCAAGAAATAGTATTTAATCTCATCTCCTCCCATCACAAAAGTAATAGAAGAGCTAACATTACCCTTTGGACATCTCAATCTATTAACCCTCAAAATATTTAACCTTCTAGACCTACTAAGAGTTACGTCCGTAAAAATAGAAACATCATAAAGTCATAAACCATTTAAACTCAACGTACCTAGAAAATCTATTAGCTTTAATGACCCTAAGACGGTCAGCATAAAGCATTTTATAAAATAGATCAACAAAAGAAAATTAAACGTCAAAACACTGTATGAAAGAATAGAAATCCAAAAAATTAAACCATTAAAAATAGGAAAAACTATATTAAAGGCAACACAATAGCTTAACAAACATAAATTCATCCTTGCTCGATAATGTTCTCCCTGTTTCTTCCGTAAATTCAATTGCCTTTTCTTCTCTTTCCAATGAAAAAGGGTCTCCTAATTGCTAAAACTCTATGGAAAATGAAGTATTATTGTATAGTCAACAGTATACTCTTTTTGGTCAACCATGATTGGATCTCAAGATTCAATCTCGATCATTCATTCTAATTTAATTAAAAAATAGTACATATTAATTTACAAAAAAGAAAAAAAAAAACCTTGGTGAATTGGAAAATGAAATTCAAGATTTATAGCTTCTTTATTACAAATTTCTCATTCCATTGATTAAAATATCATGTCCCACAACATTTTAAAAATATTCTAACAATTAAGAGAGTAGTTTTGGTCGACCACTACTAGTGGAACTATAATGTTTACCTTTCCAAAGTCTGTTATGGCCTCATAACTACTTCAATACTAGTTCCATAAAGATTTCCATGAACAGAAGCAAACTTAATGAACTTCTCATCTTTTATATCCTTCTCCATTACACTTCACTCAGTAAAATGGTAATGAGCTCCATTCTTCTCCATGCCCCTTGGTGATTTGGTTGTGTGGCTAACAGAGAATCCAAACATGGATGGGAATTCTTTCGTAAGCGTGTTTATTAATGTCCTCTTACCAACTCTAAAAGGACCACTGATAATAACTGGCTTCCCAGTATCATCTCTCACACCTTTACCCCAGGCAACAACTTTAATCCCCAAAGTTTTTTTGTTACTTAACATGCATAGAGTCCATCTACACATATTTTGAACAACATTTAGGCATCAAAATATTCATATAGATTTTATTCAACTCAGAAGCATTGACTTCTATAATGTACAAATGCCACAAAGAAATGAACTATTATGACGGCAGAGTATGTGAAAATCATCTTCAATTAACCCTAAAAAATTCTTAAGTTTTCAAAATACCAACCTCAAGAAACCATATGCAGTCCTCTAGGGTGGATCCTCTAATAACAATCATTATTCAATCTTCATTCAAAAGAATAGCTGAATGGCCTTCACATGGCTTTTGTTTTGTTCCCAGTATTGTAGAAATCACTCTGAAAATATTAACAAAAACAATATAACTCTAAATTAAAACTCGGAAGAAGAAATAGTGTAGCTAGAACCATACAGCCATTTCGTCAAAAATCTAAATATTAAAAGCCTAATTAGACATGCAATAAGACTCTTTTTCTTATTAGATAATATTCAGGATTTATAGATAAAATCAAGCTTAACAAGGTAATATTCGAGGCTCATATGATCTGTTCTCAAAGTATTGAATAAATCAAGAGGAGGTGAATTAGTTAATTAGAAATTGAAAAAATTTGATTACCAAATCTAGAATAATCACAAATATAGATTTCTAGGCAAATAAAAACAATATATATGTACAAATAAATAACTTTGAAAGTTAAAAGAGTAGAGATAAATAAGCAAACACCAGAAATTATAGAGGTTCGATCCTTTTATAAGGCACTTACATCTTCTCTCTTTGTCTCATTTACCAAAAAACTTAATCCATTATATATTATTCCAAAGCTGTTAATGCAAACAATTAATCAATCTCTTAATGGCTTTCCTAAGTTCCTTAAAGAACCATTCAAGAGTTATATTCCCCCTCAAGCTTACAATCTCAAAGCTAAACACAAATGTTTAACAACTTAAAAATCTCTCTAAGATTGGTGTTTGCTAATTCGAAGTGCAAGTAGAAGATATGAATAATAACAAGAAAATTGAATACAAGATAGGAATTTATGCTCTTAAACACATTTATTACTCTTTAAAGGCTTGAAGAAGTTGAAGAATGGATAGCAATCAATTCTCTTAGCTCTTTGATACTCTATAATGTGGTGAAACACCTCTTAATATATGAGAAAATAAAAAATAGCTGTTGCCTTGGTTTAATACATTTAATATCACACAAAAACTAGGAAAATATAACCGTTCGAAATTGTCTAGGCCAAACCCATCGATCCATATTTGAAGAGGACTGATCAGTTTTGGCCTTTCAAGCCAAAACATGTTTCTAGTAAAATAATCAATTGATCCATTTTAGTGAATCGATCCATTTTTGCCAAATTTGAATAAGTGATGTTTCTGTAAGAAAAATTGATAAATTTACTTTTATAATGGATTAATCCATTTTGTCAGTCTCAAATCTGAGACTTTTTCTATGAGAAAAACCCATTGTTCCATTTTTGCTAGTTTTAAATTCAAGACCATTTTATAAGAAACACCGATCAATCCATTTTGCCAGCTTTAAATTTAAACTTTTCTATAAGAAAAACCGATCGATTTCTTCTTTGCATGGATCAATCGCTTTTGGGTTTTAAACAACATTCATAGTTTCTATCCAAGATAGATCGATCCTGTCTACAAAGGGGTCAATCCCTCTTTCTTAATTTTGTATAAAACTTCTCTTTAATGAGAAAAGAGGTTTGTTTTGGCCTTAAGTCATTTTCATTCAAAAATCCTACTGGCATATATGTTCTGTGATTTCAAATCATACCAATTTTTGTCCATTGCAGATGCAGGCGTTGAGACAAGCATCTGCTTAGTTATGTACCTACATTTAATTAAAGCCATCAGATCTAGTTATCACTTCAGTAGCAATTTTGTGATTCATGGGCATGCAATTACCAAAAGCATCAGGTTTGCCTTTATTTGTTTCAAAATGGCACCAAATTAAAGCCTGGATATAAATGGCCTGCGAAATTGCCTACTTTATCGTTTCAGGTTGATTTTTACCTACCTTTGGGATTTCCTCTTCCAGCGAAAAGAATCAAATCATCATTGATTCTCTCACAAACACACGTGCACTATTGCCCTCAGGTCCTAGTTTTCAAGTGCGGTTGTTAATCTTTGGAAACAAATTTTATCTTTTTGCATATCATGTAGGTTTGGAGCATTGTATTGTGTGTAAACTTGAAAGTACTGAATAACTTTGATGTTTGATTTGTGAAAATGAATGAATATCAGAGTCGTATTCTCGTTATTATTTGGTTGAAAAGCTAGCAATGGAGTTGGATAACTACAAAACAACTATTGTGAAGCTATATTGACACTTATGTGTTTCAATTTATTGTATTGCAGGCCTCTTCTTTACATACTTAGGGTCAACCTGCACTCCTCTATCTTGTTCCTTGTACACTAGGTAACAAAGTTAACAATTGCACCTGGACAGGCTACTTCTGACTGGCTTGTCGAAAAAGGATCTCATATGCTCTCTCGTTTTTACTCTTTTTGCCCCTTCCCCGTTCTCCATTCTGATTTTTTTTTTCTTTTTCAGGAGTTGCTGTCATATTAGGTTTGGTGAGAGGAGAGCTGAAAGATCTTTGGAATTACAGCGCCGCGTCATACTCCATGACAAGTTCCTCTGGAGAAGCTTGAAACAGGTACTTTTCTTCAAAATGTTAATGCTGATCATCAGAAGCTAATGGTGTAAAGAGATGGGTTTGGTGTTAACTACACGGAGTACAGGGTTCAAGAACTGGCAAAATTTTGCGTTTTTGGACAGCAACTTGCTATACAAATTTACATTCCCGTCTCTTCTATTGTATCTAGGGCTCGATTCTTTCCACCGCTGCTAATGTTGTAATATTTCTGGAATGTTGTACAGATCATGCATCATTTTTGTTTGAGCAAAAATTGTGGGCAGGCAGATAAAACAACCTTAAGGTAATTCGTCTACTTTTTATTATTCACATTTAACTTGTTGTACAAAGTTGTGATAAGAGAACACTATAACTATTATTTTTATATTTAGTTTTCCCTCAATCCCTAGGATTCTATGGAATTGAAATCTATGTAATCTTCAACAAATATACAAGCCATGATTTTTTGTTCCGATGAAAGAACAACAAAAAATATTCCAAGCTATGATTTTGATTTAATCATGTCTTTTGTAATAGGAATTTTTAAATGATTTTTTTTTTAAATTAAGCATCAATAAATTTGGAATCCCCATGAGTTAGGAATTCCAGAATTTGTCACAGATTCATAAAAGATACTATAATTTTTTTTTTTTAAAATCTGTAAAATTGAATGAAAAAAAAAATGAAATTCATCTTGTTTGGATTACTAATAAGACACAATCAAAAAATTGAAGGCACATGCCTCAGGCCAAGATCTTTGATTTCTTAATAAATGTATTTAGACAGGGCCAACAAACCATGAAAAAAAAATGATCAAGAGGGGAAGAACATGGTGCTGAAGCTAATAATATGTTATTATCTCTTCATAAAACTACAATTATTTTTCATCACAAGCTGAAGCAGCAGATTGATCTTGTTTCCTTGTTACAATGGCTGAAATAAAATCATCCATTGCTTTAATGGAAGACCCCTTTTCATTTCCTTCATCTCTCACTGCTGCCCTTATGTGTTCTGCTATCTCTTCAGCTTTCTTCTTCATATCCCCTCCTTTCCCTTTCTTGTCCATTACCAATTGTATCACTTTCTTAACCTCTTCCCCCGAAATGGAACTCTGCATCCCTCTTGTCAACTCCACCGAGACACCCATTTCCTCCACCAACATTTTGGAATTGTAAGTCTGCTCTGCCGCCATTGGCCACCCTATCATTTTCACACCTTGGCTTAAGCTCTCCAATGTTGAATTCCACCCACAATGGCTTAAAAACGCTCCTGTAGATTTGTGTGACAAGATCTCCAATTGGGGTGCCCAGTTTTTCACCAACAAACCTTGCTTACTCTTACTCATTCGCTCTTCAAACCCTTCTGGCAACCATTCTGGTCTGAATTCAACTTTCAAGTCGAAACCAAGTGGAGGTCTTATAACCCATATGAACGGATTCCCACTCTTTTCCAAACCAATTGCTAATTCCATCATCTGTGATGGACTAATCGTGTTTTGAGATCCAAAAGATATGTATAGAACTGAATCAAGACCATGCAGATCCAGCCACTGGAGGCATTTTTCAGGAGAAATTCCAGGCTCTTTTCCTGCGTGTTGTCTGTATAAACTATTACCACTTAAAGCCAATGATGATGAGGACTTATTTAACCAGGGTTTAGGTAGAAGAGGCCCAGTTGTCCAAACAGGAAAGTTGATATACTTTCTCAGCAACTCCAATCCAAGAGGCTCAATCTCTTCAACTGTGTTACATAACCACCCAAAAGACTGCAAAGAACCTGAAATCTGTGGCTGCATAAACCTGGACCATAGATCAGTACCATCAGCGTTTCTCAAAAATCCGTGCAGTTGAGAAACATGAAATCGACACCTTTCAGGGAATCCTGGAACACTGAATTCTTCAGAATCTGATTGACGATGTGGAAGATTCAACCACAAGGAAATATAAGCTATGGTACCGTAAGCACCACCTGTACTAAACGTAATATTTACAGTGCCTATACTCTTTGCAATATCCACAGCCCATCCGAAGAAAACATCTGAGATTATACAAAGAGGTGGCTTGCCCTGTTTCTCTGTGATACCTAATAACAGGTTACGAAATGGGGTTTTCAAAGATACAGATGAGGCGAAGAGTTTACCAATTAGATCCAGTGGTAAGTTCTCAGTGTTTTCTATGTTGGGTGGCAAGCCATGATCTGCACTGTTGAATTGAAGCTCGGCCAAGCTGATTCCGGAAGTGGGATCTTGTTGAAGAGTGGAACGGAGGTATTGGATGTTGAGAGGAGTGTTGGCAATGGTGATGTTGAAACCTGTTCGGTGGTGGATTTGCTTTGCAAGAGCTAGAAATGGTATAAGATGGCCATGACCCATCAAAGGAAGCATCACTACGTCGGTGTGCTCATCAGAACCCATGGTCAATCTGTTGGGTTTTTCTGGCTGTCTTTGCAGAAGTTTCTACTAGGCAGTTACTAGTTGTATGGTTTTGAAGAGGAACCGAACAATGGTCCCTTTAGGATGCTGGAGAACGACAGGGTAGTTGGGGAAGGTGATTCTTCGTACGACAGGGTAGTTGGGGAATGTGATTCTTCGTAAAGTTAATCACCTGAATTTTATGAATTCAGAATTTTCAAATAATAACTCTTCCAGGTGATTTAATCAAATAATTATGAATATTTGTTAAATAAAAATATTAAATATTTTGTAAAATTATCATTAAATCTTTAAAATTTTAATTATTAAAAATTCAACCATAAACCACATATTTTATGCGGTGAAACCCTCGATCATGCTTTCATATAAACCATAACTCTTAACGATGCTGCCCCATCCCACCAATTTCCTGAGTTGCTTAGTTGTGTTTTATTCCAGGTATGGAACTGGTTAACGTGGAAATTGAAGCTCCACTACTTTGAAATTATTGCAGGTAGTAATGTCATACACTATATTATTCGGTTGTTTAGACAAATATATATATTAGTATATGTGTCACATTTTGATCCGTCCGACTTAAATTTTGATCCGTATGATTTTGAAATTTAAATATTTATTCATCCGACGTTTTAGATTAGTTTGTTTATTTATCACGATTTATATTTTTATAAAATATTATTCGTTCTGATCTTCTAATCTCATGATTTTATCTTACAAAAAATACTTCATAAAAAAAAGATTGTGTGAATTCTTATATACCTCAAATGACTTATTTTTTATATAAAATATGAGATTCAAAATTTCTCCTTAGATCCGTGATATTTACCCTAACATCAAGAGCAAAAAAAAAAAAAAAAGGTAGCCACCGTAGGCTTACAAAGTTCGACCATTTCTGTGAGCCCCGGTTATGTTAAGCTCGAGCTTGGTACAACCCAACTTAAAATATCGTTTAATTCAAAATCCAGCTAAACTAAACCCATCCCGTCCACGGCAAACCGAGGGCACCAATGGCTCTAGTCTACATCTACATTCAAGTGTCACATCCAATGTTTTAAAAGAGAGAAGATAAATCATTTCAATCTCAAATCGAATATAAAAAAGATAATCATTGAGATATAAAAAGATTTACGTCACCTCTTATTTATTAAACATTTTTTGTAAAACAATATCGTAAGATTAAAAGAATCAAAGTAGATAATATTTCACAAAGATATGAATCGTGATAAATAAACTGATTTAATATGTCAGATGAGTGCATACCAAAATTTTGAAGCAGCATAAGCATAAAGATTGCATCTCGACCCATGATATGTGATATCAGAGCAGACCTTAAAACATTCAACTCATGTCAAGCACCTCAAGAGAGGTAGGTAGAGTGACCAACATCTATGACAAAGATATCATAAGGTTGAGTAAGGAAGAATATCACACGAAAAGCTTCAAAAAGAGTAGACAGAGTACTCTAATCTTACATCGCACATGAAAAAAAAGATCACCGAATATCTTTTGTGAGATAAAATTATGAGATCAAAATGAACAATATCTCATAAAAATATAAATCTTAGGTTGTTCTGAATATCAAATGAATTTATACCAAAATCCTGAAATTACACGGACTCAACCCATGACACAAGTAAATGAGCTGGGCAACTGGTTAATCTAGCAAACCTGACTCAAATGTTGCCCCTGTCTAGGGCAACCACAGATTTCCGGCAATAGAACCGGCAACAGTGAACGTTTGGGCTTCTAGGGCTGTAAGTGAAGGTCTATAACCAGGCCTCTTGACCCAGCCTGATGTTGAGGCTACGGTCCCTGAATTCAGGCATTCCCGTAGTGAAGTGTTTTTTAAGGCAAAAATGCCAGACTAAGCCACCGAAGGACCATCCTTAAGGATGATATAATCATCAAGGATTGCATTACAACTGCCCGAGAATATTGCCTCCATTGTCTCCCAAGAAATTTTCATTTTTGACTTGACAGGAACCTGCAGGTCTTATGCAGCTCTGATTTTACAGTCGCTAATGGAAATGCTTGTGCTTTGATACGGGCTTAAACGAACCAGTGCAGTGATGAAGTTGTCATGAACAGATAAAGATTCCCTTTTTGTTATAAAAGACACCAATATGACTTGTCTAGTAAATTCTTACTCTCCAATGGAAAATGGCAGAGTCCACAATACTTTTGACAGGAGTTGAGAGGTCTGAAGAACAAAGGTTACTGACAAATATCCTAAGAATAATTTCTTTCATTAATCCACATTATATATAAAGAATAATTGTCATGATATCTTTCTTACAAAGGCAACCATGCTACGCCCCAAGATCCCTCTGAAACCAAAAATCTCCATAACCCACACAAAAAATAATCATACTAAATATTCCCTGATATTGGTACACTATACCTGACTTGGGAGAGGGGAAAGGAAAATTTTTGTAGGCTACACCAAAATAATCAATACAAAAAAAAAAAACTACATATTGGCCATCTGATTAACATGGCAAGACATATCCATAGATTATGCAATGGACTACCCTCCCTGGTCACAGCCAGGAGAGAGATCGGACTCCTGGAAACAACCAATCTGGGAGAACTTCGACCAATACAGTGACTAAACATGTGAAGACCCAAAAAATGATGGAAAAGATGGGAAGAGAAAAGAACACGATGAGGAAGAAGAATAAGAAAATATGCAAATGGATGGAATACAAGGAAAAATGCAAATTGGTTGCGACGGGCATCTTCTGCCAAAGAATAGCCAGATTCACCAGACTAACCAAAATCATAACGTGACAAAGAGGCAAACTCTGAGTTCCCTTAATCCTATATTCTGCTTATGATTGAGAACTTATACGCACAAGGCTCCATGCACTTGAACCTCAACCATTTGAGGTTCAATCACCTTCAAAACCATGCGAACTGATAAATGCTTTGAATGGACCAGAAACAACTCTTGGTTTCAATAAACCATTTCTAAATGAATGGAATAATCAATGAACGCATAGGGCAAACCAAAAATTCATTTCAAAACTGAACTCATGATGGAGCAGCAGCAGCAGATGCCTTCTCCATTTTCTCCTTTTCAATCTCTGCTCTCCTCTGTTCAGCATGCTGAGCAACACCATGTGCAAGAGCTTGATAATGGAAATTCAGTGTCTGTGTAAGGTTCTGGAACCTCATAGGATCTGATGCTTGCAAACCTATATTCAAAATTAGGGAAGGGAAGAAAAAGGTCATCATTTCAGACATTGCCATGGAAAATTAACAAAAGTAGAAGATGCATATAAACAAACTTGCTGAATAAACATTTACCTTTGACAGTATCAACAAAGAACACAAAAGGGTCTACTTCATCAATTGGTGACTGAAACTCTTCATCATCACTGAAGTCATCATCAGAGTCATCATCATCGTCATCATTTGCACGGAAAGCCTTAGCCTATAGAAAACAAAGTTGGAGTAAAATTAAAGATTGGAAAGTCCAGGAATCCATTCCTGAAAGGATATATATTATAATAGGATTATTCACATGAATATGTCATAAAATACAAGATCACAAAAGGTCGCAGCACTAATAGTAATTTTGAAATTTCTCTGTTCTACCCCTCATCACCAAACAAGTCATTAGTACCAACATTCAAATGCAGAAGACAAGTGCAATTTACAAAAACAGACTAAAGAAATGCCCGAGCATTTCAAGTGAAAGTTTTTTGGGGGCACAGGGGGTGTACGTCACCAACACACCAAGTGAATCCAACCAGCTTCAACAAATAACTGTCTTAATGCCTTTGCTATTGCACCTGGCAAGTACTCAAGCACTATCCTTATTCCTTCATATTGTAAAGCTCCTATTTAATTGCCTATCTAATTTCTTTAATGATAAGAACAAATGTGCAAAGACCGTTGATAAAAAACAAACCGGTTTCATTTTCATTTTTTTGTATCAAGATTTACCATGAAAGACTGGCATTATCCACTTGAGTTCTAACACTTAGCTTTGTGAATTTCCAGGCAAAAAAATCAAAACAGATCAATAGGATGTTATTTAGAATGCCTTCATCCTGCCCAAACAGTAGCTAGACATTCCCCCATGGGCAATATGATCAGTTCTCAGGACTTTATATTATTTACCAACCAAAGAGGGAGCTCTCCCTTTTTTGCCAAATTGTGAAATTTATGATAGAAGCAAAGTACCAAATAATAACTTAAATGATCAAAGTAATGCATACCTGGGCAGCTAATTTTTGAAGCCTGATGCTATCAGCTTCATCCCCATCCTCTGCCGATGCTCCCATTTCCTTGTCATAACCATCAGCATCATCATCATCATCATCTGTTTGGAAACCATCCATATCATCATCATCATCTTCAGCCTCTTCCTCCTTTGCAGCTTCTGCTTACACAAATAATGCATGGAAAATCCAGGTATTACGGTAAAAAATCGAAGGATGAAACCTCCAAAAGACAGCAAGGCAAAGGAAAAAGAACAAGAAATGGTTGCAAATTCAGACACACAACAGGTATGCATACTTGCATGCACACACACACACACCTACACAGAGAGAGATTAAGGGAGAGACAGAAACCTGCAACTTGATCCATATATGCAACTAAGAGATCAAGGGTGGCTCTGAACACACGCCCAAGAGCCTCTCCAACTAACTGTTCACCAGGAAGTGCAAGTAGTGACGTAAGGCCCAAGCAGCATACTTTCTTATCATGTTCCCTGTAGAAACCAGATAACTTATAAAGTCACAGCCAAACAATACCCAAGGAGAAAAATTCATTATAAAAGTAATGATATTACACTTAAGGTATAAAAGTAATGATATTACACTTAAGGCTTATGGAGTGAGAATGAAAATGATCAAAGCAAATACAAAACTACCTACCGCTTAAAATTAGCCTGTAGACCACTCTTTCTAACTTGTTGCAACAACTGGAACCAAAGATTGAACACTTCCGTTGTAACACAAAACTTATTCAATATGCCGAGTGTCAAAGCTGCATTGTAATAGACCGCATTGGCAATCTGGTTAAAGAAGACCAGTGTTGTGTTAGAAATCACAGGGCAAAGCTATTTCCAGAAATAAAAAGTATTTCTGGAAGAAAACTAAAGCAATTTGCAAAACAATAGTAGTGTTTCAATTATCATTCGAAACAGCATAAGCTGTTGCTTTTAATAGCTACTTCACACCATATATTAAACATATAAGGACAAATCTCGATTCTAACAGGAACATCCCAAGATAACATAGACTGTTAACTTCAATCTTGTAACAGGAACCAACAAAGAAAATTTGAGACACATAAAAACATACCAAATTAACTTAAATTGGCAATAAATGAATCTTCAACTAGTGCGGTCCATAACCTAGGGTGGGTGCATAATTGAGGAACATTGAATGTGTAATATTCACAAGACCAAAGCATATAAAACATGACACCATCTTGCCTACAAATACAGCTAGGTCCTGACACCTTACCACTTGTACAAGAAGACATTTCAGCCGTGATTTCTCCGTCCGACGCAATCGATCAAGAGTGATTCTCAGATATGGCTCAACCCAATGATCCACCTGCCCTCTACAATTTTGAAACACTACTTCTATCAGCTTTGGTGCCGCCTCAATATCATTGTCCTCTAAATTTTTATCTGCCATAATCTGCCAAAGAAAAAGCAGATAACATAGGCCTTATTAACCAAAGGAACTGACATATAATGAATAGAAAAATTGGAAGAAGATCAAAACTGAAGAATGTATAGTTCATTTTCATTTTCCCGACAGTTGTCCATCTACAACCAACTTTTATCACTACATAGGAACTCACAGATGAAATCATATTCCAAAGACTTTGCTGGTAGTCTGGTTCCTTGCAAGTAAGAAAATGCGCTGTTCCCCTGGATATATAGTTGTCCAAGGGAACCAAAATGTCTGCATCAAAACAGCTAATATTTAGAAACAACGAAAAAACTCAGATGAATTCCAAAATAAATAATGATAAATTGAATTAGGTGGACAAAAAAAGAGTGAAACTTCCCACTTTCCGTTGTTAAAGATGTAACATACTATTTATATGGAAATACTAGAACCAACAGAAGTGAACTGTTGGCATTCTATCATAAACAAATCTCAACATCCAGATTGCAGTGATGATCTGATCCCAAATTAGGGATGTTAGTCTTCAAAACTTTTCCAATTACCAAAATTTGAACGGATGAGGATTTTGTGCAAACATGTTAAATCTAGGATTTGTAAGAACAAAACACACTTCAACAAGTTGACAAACAAAACTAATTCTACCAACAAATTAGGCACAAATATTGGCAATTTATTTGGAAAAGTAGATCATAGACACACATGCATAAAGCACAAGTTTCAGACCAGTAACTTAATGTTTTTCAAAGAGCAATAGTAACACTAAGTAGCTTATTATACTGTTGACCATGAACAGGATGCATTAGTCTTCCCAGTACAATTTGCAATTCTTATCCCAATTACAATTTCAGTTATTAACTTAAAGAAGAATAAAACATTGAACTGATGAGTAGCATTAAAGGGAAAGGCTGGTTAACAATTCTGAAAAATTCAGACATGGAAATTTAAGGGAACTAATAAAAGCAGAAAATGTAAATAAAATCATACTTGGAAAGAAGTCTATAGCCCAATCAGCTAACGCTTCAATCATCAAAGGCCAAAGGCTCCACATATCCAAGGATATAGTCGGGGAAAAGAAGGTCACATACGAAACAATCTCCAAGACTTCTTCAAAAACCTCTGCAGAAGAATCAAAATTTTGATGAAATGGACGCTATACAATGATATAGACCAAATAGCATTCCAATTTAGCGGGATTGAAATGCACTAGCCAATAAACTCTTCAATAATGTATTTTGTCAACTCACTTTTAGATTTCATTTGGCAAAAAATTTAAAACTCAAGTCCTTTTTGACAAGTTTAAATCATGCTGACATAATGGTTTGAAAGTGTCTTTACAACAAAGCATACCTTTTCTTGGAGCATGCCTGCTACAAATTCATCAAAAAGGTAACTGTTTATGATCAGTTCTTTTCTGGTTGTTTTAGCAAATGTTTCATGTGTTTATGAGCATATTCTATTCTACACAAACACCTGGACCTAACTACATTTGCCACTGTTACTGATAGTCTGATACAATTCTAAACCAAGATGCAATGGCTAACGCCATAAAGAAGCTCTTTGATCTACGTTTATAAAATTATAAAAAAAAAAAAAAAATTGAATACAATTAAAGAGTTAGAAACATCTAGTAATAAAGTTAAGTATTACAAGTCAATAGTGATAGAACAAAAGCTTTCCTTTCTCTTTAATTGCTCAATATCAAAATCAATCACCTAATAAACAGTTGAAAATTTTAAGAAAAGCAGCACCTAAGCTATAGCAGCAGCTTGTCATTTCAATTTTCACATCTAAACTTTAGATTCTTTAATCAACTTATACTATATACGCAACCTGGTCAAATTTTAGGTGCTACTTCTCATTTCTGGTTGCCTCAAAGTACATATCACTATTAAGAAAATAAAACAACTAAAAAGCAACGAAAAAAAGGAGAAACACTGTGTCTACCTTGTCCATCAGTTGTCAACATTCTTCTCATGATTGGAAGCAAAGTTGGCTCAATCTGAACAAAAAGATGCGGAAGCCTGCTAACTGATTCAAGTATTGTGCTTATGGCACGCAAACAGCCAACTGCAGCCAGAGCACCAGGATCATCGGCTTCATCATCAGCCTCTGATGTGTTCATACACCTCCAAAATGCAGCTGCCTGAAAGCAGAGACATGGTGATAGTTTCAGGTATAAGACAGTTTGAAACTTAATACTTAAAAAAATTGCAGGAAACATGCATACCAAATTCTGACATAATCCAAGAGCATATGGCGCCATCTCCTCCCCAAACTTATCGACTATAGTCTCCAGAGTAAAAACAAGGTCCTCATTCTCAACCTCATTCATAAGTTTAAAAATCTCTGGGAGGAAAAGAAATTGCAATTTCTTGACTAATTCACTTGAATAATGAAAAGTAACTGTCTATTGTGTGAATGTTCAATAGAATCATGTACATGATCCCAAAGTTCGTAAAAGAAGAAAATAAAACAACAGCAGTGTTCCCAAGAGCCAAGTTAATTTGAGATAACAGCAGATAATCAGAAGCTGTTAATAAGACAAAACCAAGTTCCAAATACCACTTACCATCGAGTAGTTGAGGAAGAATTGGACGAATCTCATTTAAATCTGCATATAAAACAATTTCTTTTCTGTTAAGCAGTTAACACTCCAATTAAAGAAGAAATAAGGGGTGAATAGATGGAATATAAGTAGTAACCACTGATGGCAATCTAACTACAAAATTCAGATTTGGCCCCAAGCTTGCTCAATTTAAACCCAAATTGTACAAAATATAAAATAAAGTTCAAATAGGAAGTAGCAACTATATACCTGAGCAAGCTTCAACAAAAGATCTCAATGCAAAAACTGAATCAACACGAACAGGAAGTTCTGGATCACGCAAACCAGAAACAACACTAAGCAGTGCATGCCGGAAATTATTCTGGTCAGAAAAATTTATATGGGCATACTGTCCTGCTACCCAAGCTGCCTATTATCCAGACCATAAAAGTATAAAAGTGAGAACATTCTCACACATAGAAATGTATCTATATATATCTCACGAAATCATGAAAAAGAGTAATGAAGAAGGATTAAGATGTCCCCCAGATAAAAGAAATTAAAAACAAAACCTTGGCTCTAAGATGACCAACAGGACTGCGGAACTCTGGGAAAACATGTTGCATTAACATATGTTCCAATTCAGATTTATACGGCTCGGTTTGTTTCAGTTTATCACAAAGTGCTCCAACAGCAAGGAGAGCGCCATCCTTCTGTCGGTAAGGCTTATATTCTACAGGTGCTTCATCATATCTGGAACAAGAAAGAGGTATACCATGAATATACCGTAACAAAAATCAAGTCAACATCTAAGCATCCCTATATTCCCAGTCTGTTTTTATTAGGCTTACCTCTTGAAAATTTCCACAATGAATTGAATGAACTTTCGAAGATTCTCTTTTCCACGTTTCCTGACCAACTCACTGACAAAGTCCATTGAAGCAGTTCTTGGACTATATAAATCTTCAATTATATCTGCAGGACAACAATAGAATGTATGAACCAGTAAGCTCATTCCACGTTTCCAACAGGTACACCAGATTTCATAGCTTACCATAGCCCTTCCTTACATACTCATGTGGATCTTCTTCCCAAAGCTTTTGATCATTGTCATTGAAGCACATTAGAGGGAAGACTATCTCAAAAAGAAGAACATCAAGCTGTGGCTGCAACAAAGTATACATGCCATTTTTCGAGATGCTGCACATAATTAAATGTTTTCTGGTCAAAATTCATTATTAACATTTCTAAATTCAAATAAAATTTGCAATATGGAAACATAGGATGAGGATATGGCATCATTGAAAGATGCAATGTAATCAATAGCCTTGACAGAACTACAAAGACCAACACCAAATAATACTACAACAAAGTAAGAGTACAGGAGTACTGCATAAAAAATGCTCCAAAATATGTAAGGCAGAAAAGTAGAATTAAGCATGATGAGCTTTATTTGGTTATTTGGTAACTAAAGGAATAAAGTTATACATTATACAGAGCATTATTCTAATGAACACTGCTATGCAAAAATTTTATAGCTTTCATGTTAACACATTGCTGTTCAGCACTTTCTGGGTAATCATAAATCCATCAAGAAGCTCAGCCCATTGCTCTCTCTCTTTTTCTGAGAAAAGAAAAAAAGTAACAGGAAACACTGAAAAGAAAATATTTTAAAATAATCCTATTCTTTCAGTTAATGCAGGGCAACCTCTAGCCTCAAAAAAATGGATGGTCCAGTTATCCTGAAATAATGGCTGGCTCTAACAAAAGAATAACCAAACATCTTACACTGACAAAAAAAATCAAAAGCAACAGTTATTGACATGATTTTTGCAGAAACACATTGCAAACCTGCTGCTTAGATATTGAAGAATAAGGTTGGTAACTCTGTCAGGGAGATAGCCACCAACATGAATAACACCCAATAAGTTTAAGTGGCATTCCAAAATTCTTCCCGCATAACTCTTCTGAAACATTTGGGCAAAAGCCTTGTTTTCTGGATTCCTAAGCTTTAAATCTCCAAACCTATAAAATAGCCACCAAAATCACAAATAAGCGTAGTACCTTGAGGCCTATCACAAATTACTCCAAACATGTTCCAATTTTTAAAATTTACCGAGTGTATAGCCGATTTAAAATATGAACTGTCCATTTTTTCACCTTCCACCACCCCCATGATTTCCTGAGCTCAGGATCTACAGGTTGACCTTCCAGAGGTACAGGCCTTTCTAAAACATTTAAGAAAAGCATCATCCAAGCATTGAACACATTTGGATCAAGTAACTGCTTTGGAATCTCCAACTGAGAAGTAGAGACAAAGATGATAACCAAAAGATGGCATGTCAATCACACAAATCTCATAAAAACAGGTCACAGGAAAATAGTTGCAGTAGACAAGTAAACATTCTAGTACAAGTAGTTTTCCTCAAGATATTTGGCGCATGATTTTTTCTCAAGCTCAGACAATAATAACAATACACTATAATGGACTAGCTAGCAAGCTATTAATTAGATTGAGAAACTTTCTACATCTGGACTAACAAGAAAAGTAAGACAACGTTACTTTTTGCTGGTGATAAAGAACATACGGAGAGATCAAGAGTTCATAACAATAGCATTATATAAGATCATCAAATCCGCATAAAAAAAAAAAAAACACTTCATTTACAAACAATAATAGGTATAATTTCAAATAAGAACAAATGCCTTCAATAAATATGCCAAAAAGTTCATCTAGAAAGAAAATAAAAGAGAAAAACAGAAAATGGAAAATAAAAAAGAATATAAACAAACGGTAAAATAATGTCAGAAGCTCCCTTTATGACCAAATCAACAGATTAGGTGATCAAGGCAATGATGATGCACTACAAAACTAGCAATTAAAAACTTACATAGATTGATGACCAGAAAATTTTACAAATAAGCTTGATTAGATCCGCCACTCCCAATGCTGGTTTTTCAATCTGGACAAGTCTGTTGAATATATTGAGAAGATGTGGAAATGTCTCCTCAACAATGCGGTGAACTGGAGTTCTCTCCTCTTCTGACTTGAACCTAGAATGATAGAGAAATGATTTAATTAGTACTAACACAAGTATCCACCAAATTAAGAGAAACAATGAGTTGTTATTTGAATTAAAAACATCTCAACACTTCTCAAGGGACAATGCCACCTGCTAGCATGTATTGCCATCAAGCATTAAGATCGTGGAAAGATGCTAGTTGAATTAAACAAATACTTCCCACCACCGTTCAGTGACCAACTTACATCAAAATAAAGATTGCATTGATATAGAGATATCAATTCAAAACATAAATAACATAAAAAAAAATGCAGCCAAAAATAGAAAAGAAGGTATATACTTACTCATATTTTCTAGCAAGAATCCGCAACACAAACAAGGCCCCATAAACCTGCTGATCTTGTAGATTATGCTTTACCCAGTCCAGAAGCCTTGGCCACTGCTCTGGATAATCAGCATGGATAACGGTCTTCAGACACTCACCCAATTGCACCCTGCAACAAAACCAATATGATGCATACAGCAACTTAACCACGTAATCTACGCACACTTCCAATGAAACAATAAATAATTCTAAACAAACAATCAAAAAATAAAAAAAAGGGACAACAAACAATTGCACCTCAACAAAGGAGGAACTTGAGCTACAAATACAAGAATATGATCGCGAACCATATCTTTATCACTTTGCGAAATTTTCTGTTGCTCATCTACATTTATTGAAAACAAACAAATATATGTACTCATATTAATATTTATGAACATAAATATCGCAAAAAAATTTTAAAAAAAAATGATTGAAAATTTGATACTTGGATCAAGAGAAGCCCAATTCTTAGCAATGAAGTTCTTGAAATGAATAGAAGCAACTTGACGAACCGCCATATCACAATTATTATCAACGATGATCTGTAACAGTCTTACCAGATGCTGAGGCGTATACTGAAACTGAAACCAAAACAAAGAATCATAATAAATTATTAACAATAAAAAATTAAAATTAAACAAAAAAACCTGATTAAGGCTTTGTTCCGCAGCTTTGCGTTCAGCAGGATTGGGACTAAGAGCAGCTTGAAGAACAACAGCGAGACTTGGAAGATCCATTATTTTTTGTTTAATCCGATGATGAAAATTTGGAAATTTAAAAATAAACCCTAGATGCTCAAATTCAGTTCAAAGAGATGAGATTCTAGGGTTTAGAAAAAGAGATGAAAATTGAAAAAATAAAAAATAAAAAGGAAAATAAAGAAAAAAAGAGAGAGAGACAGATGTTTGCGGAGGGAGACAGCTAGAGAACATAAAGAGAAAGAGAAAGAGTATTTAACTTAGTAGGGTTTACGGTTGCTTAACTAAAAAACCCACTTTACTCAGTTTTTACACGCGCAGTCAACTCAAATTTCCTGTTTATCTTCGTTAAACACTATAAACGTTGTCGTTTTGTGTCTGAGTCGGAGTAGAAAGACAGCAGCCACACGTGCATGTCACCGAGCGTGCTTTTCACGTATAGGAAAATGATTTACATTTTATTTTATCAACAAGAATAAATAGTAATTAGTTTGTTGGAATAATAATTAGTTTTTCAATAATTAAAACATGAAGTTTAAATTTTTGGTAAATGTTTTGCTTTTAAATTGTTAAATATTCTTACCCTTTAAAACGAAGGGTTTTTTTTTTATTTTAACAAAGTTTAAGAAAAAATTAACTTTAAATGTTAAAAAATAAATAATTTTAAATTATACAAAAAAAATTTAATATGTAACAAATAAAAGATATAATTTTGAGATATTAAAAAAATACAAATAAATGTCATTAGGGATAAAAAAAAATCCTATAAATACTTAAATTTAAATATTAAATTTATTAAATATTACTTTTAAAAATGATTAGAAGATCTAATTGAATCAGACCTGATAAAAAAAAAAAATTATGATTTTTTATTCATTGAGTGCTTGAATCAACTTTAACTGTCAGAAGAAGAAAGACAAAGGCAAATGCTTTTTTTTCACTTTAGCTTTAGGCATTTGCTTTATTCATTTAAAGACTTTTTCTTATTCTTGCCTTTTGTAAATAGGCGGTGGCTCGCTTTCAATCATTTACTCTTTTTAAAGGTGTTTTCTAAATATAGAAGGCACACTTTTGTTCCCTCCATTTTTATTGCTAGAAAGATTATATTAACTTTAAAAAAATAACATTTAATATTAGAAATGAGACAAGTTAAATCCAATGATTATGTTTTTGAATAAGTTAAATCCAATGATTATATTTTTGAATATCATTGTTATGACCTGTTAAAAATATAAAATATTTAAAAAAATTATCATATTAAATTTATATTAATATTTTTTATTTTTTAAAATTTATATTGTTTTTATTAAAATTTTAAATCATATTTTTTATCCTTTTTAAAATTATTATATCTAAAATTTAGATATAGAGACGTAAGAAATGTGCAAATAAATGAACAGGAAAAGTCCAACCTCCCCACATGGGTGGTGGAAAAGGCTTCAAAAGCGCAATAAATATTACAATGTTTTTATAGGAACATAATATTTGTACTCACTTGCTCCACATGCTCATGGTTGCACCAAACGTAGTAATGCAATTGCCTGTGTCAATTATAATCATCCAAGCTTGACTGAATACGACATTGACAAATGCAAATTCCACAGAGATTGACTGCTTGACTAAGGGAATTGATTTCTTCATTTATGTAAATCAATAATTGTTCCTTTTGGGGGTTTTTCTTTGTTCTATGGGCCACATGTTATGGCTTAAGGTAAAGGGAAAGACCTTTTTTTTTATAAAAAAAAAAAAAGAAACCCCATAACTGAAGAACAAAATAAAATATTACAATTGTTAAAATTATTGCATGAATCAATTAAATTTTGAATTAAACATAAACATTTTATCTAGTCGGAACACACTATTAGAATCATTTGAAGGTCCTCTCAATCTTAACAAAAGGTTTCCACCATTTGAATGTGGCAAGAATACAATTGAAACTCACATTTCCTTAGTAATATCGAAAATGTTGCTTTTTTTTTTTTACAAATAGTTAATGTAATTACGTACATATGTGTAGCTGGAAATAGCATGTTACAAATTGAGGAAAAATGAGTTAAAGTTTCGTGCTCAGCCGAAGTATCTTCCTGTTTTCAACCGGGATGTTCAAAGAATTCAGACAACATCTTTCAGCATTAGTAAATCCGATCCAAGAAGAACCAGCTTGAAGAACAAAAATAATAAGCTGAACCACTTGGCTTTCGAAGGTAAGGAAAAATAAAGATACAACTGTGAGATGAGAACCAGAGCTAGAACCAGAGGTCCACCTTTGTTCATGGCATCTCAAGACGAGTTTGAAGGATTTCATTGGCATAGAAACCTCTGCAAAAAGAAAAAAAATGGAAGAAACATCAATCTAAAAGAGTACAACAAGAATCCAATATAAACCAATTCTTGAAAAGAACATTAACAGAAAGAGAATAGAACTACAAGTATGTATATTTTGAAGTGGGGACAGGTCGGAAGAATCAAGGAAAAAAAACTTCAATATGGTTAGCAAGAAGATGATGACTGATGTTTGTAGTGAAGTATTACAGTATATGATGGCCAAGCAATAAACATAAATGCTAGACAATCATGACTTGTTCACTAGCAAACCAAACCAGAATCTTTGCTATGACTGGTTCACTAGATTATAACGGCCACATTGCACTCTTCCTGCACATTATATGTACATATCAGTATATATTGCTCATTGAATTTGTTTTGCATGTCATGACAAATAGATGCTGTAGTTGAATATGGCTTAGTGCACAGATTCAAATGTATTGAGTTCTTGTTTCATTAGTATTAGTGTATTATTAACATGCTTTCATAGACTATTTCATTAAAATGCAGTTGGCTTTAGTTGCTGACTTTTCACAGATAGTTCTTCATTCAAAATACAAGAGATGCACTGTGATTCAACTTCAAGCGTCAAGAAGTAACAAGCCAATCTGACTCCAATAGCCAAAAAGAAATTTAAGCCCAGAATAGATCTATGGGTTATTACCTCTCTCATTCTCCTGTCCATTCTATTAATTCACTGCGGTGTACAAATAACTTTGACACTTGTTCCTCAGCTTCAGTATCATTAACGACACCCCGGCATCTTGGAAAGCCACAGTAGCATGCCAAACGCTCATCAATGGAGAAGAACCTGAAAGACAAAAGGAAGTCAGTGTCTAAGATAACTAAGGAACAAATGTATGCATAGGAATAGAAGAGAACCTATAATCATATGTCAGCTCTTCCCATCGTTTAATATCTCTCTTTGCAAATATAATAATATGCTCATCACCATGAACACTAATAACTCTTGAATAGCAATTCGGCTGCACAAAAGGCACAAAAGAAAAATTATGAACAGCTTTTACACCTGTGTATAATTCATCAGAAATTGATAGTATCACAATGGCACATGAGCATTCTACTACAAATATTTTTGGCAGGTTAAGACACCAACAACTCTTGTGTTATACTAAAAGAACTTAGTAGGTGTTATACTAAAAAAACTTAGTTATGTCAAAGGAACCTTTCTACACCCCCTGTCCCATTGTCTTTGGCCCTATTACCCTTCAGACAATCTCAAGTTTATTCCATGTCTGTGAGGAGAACAATAATCTTTGTTAACTAAAGAAAACATTAACTTTTCATTCATTATCTCTTAATACACCATTTAGTGGACTCATAAAGAACAATGCAATGGTAAAAGTGGAATGAACTCAAACATGTATGACAAGAATAATAAAACTACACAAAAATCAGATGTAGCCAAACAAATTGCAGCAGAATGGTATAAAGCATATCAAATTACAAAAAAGTGAGGTTGGAACATTTTCATCTCCTCACACACGATTTCATAGACTCATAAAGATCCATGCAAGGGTAAAAGTGGAATGAACATAAACATGTATGGCAATAATTATAAGGATTCACAAACATCAAATCTAGCTAAACAATTAGAAACAGAAGGCATAAAGTAGATTAAATTACCAAAAGCAAGGGTGAAAAACACTTACTTCACATGAGTGGTTGATCAGATGTGCTATACTTCCTGCCCTAGTGGCATCGATCACTCGTTCATTATCAATTCGAAACATATAAGTCCCAGCACCCTGTGAGATAAAGTACTTAGTAACTTTCAAACTTGACTATGCCTGCTCTCTGAGATTGCCATAGGACAATATTACAAACATGCAAATAAACAAAAAGTATATGAGATACAATAGAGTGCGTACCACCAATGAATTGTATATGAAATGTTCCCTCCTATCAGCTATAGAAGGTCTAACAAGTTCACCAGTATATTCAATCACCTATAGATAATTCAAGTTACTTTTCGTGTACTCAAAAACAAAAAAAAAAAATCCAAAGAATACTAAAGTGTAAAGAGCACATTCGTTTACCATGTCTCCTGCCTTATGTGGATGCTTTGCAAAGATTCCAAACCCATGAATTCCTGATTTCCCTAGAGCCAAATGCAATTCCAATTATCCAGAAAGAAAAACTCAGGGAAAAAAAGGAATGCAGAACGATAAAAAGAGCAAGTGACTATTTTAAACTTCTATATGATTCTTTAAAGAGAAAACAACTAGACATTGAATGCAAGGATCAACTATGTGATCAAGCAGAAGAAAACTCACACAAAAAAAAAAAAATAAATTTATAAACATAAACTCAGAGGTGTTAGAATGATGTGCATATGTACAATTCCATGAAAGACTGATGAAATTTAAAAGATTATTGCTATTATATCAAAAGAACAACTGCAATCAAGAAAAAGAAATACTGACCAAGCTAGTAGACACTATATATGGTAGCATATTTACTTCCCATATATCTAAAGACAGACAGAAAAGGCAAAAAAGTTTAAACTCAGCTTTATTAAAAGGATGTCATTCAATTTCAATTCAGTGGAACAGCTTGTATCCCCTGCCAAACATTTTTATTTATGCCTCCTCCCTTTTACAAATATCTTATGTGGAATTCTAAAATTGTCCAATCTGAATAACACCATTAGCCAAAATTAAGTAATCCTGTATCTAGACCTGTCATAGGCCCCATCAGAAAAGGTCCAAGAAGAAAGATAACAGATGATTGAATCACAAACCCAATGACTATAAGTTTCTTGCTTTAGAAAACCTCACGGATCATAATTCTAGGATAAATAAATGTTGGCCAGCATTTTCCTATTACTATTAGCACTTTGTCAGAACACGTTAAGGCTCCATTTTGGTTGGTACTTTCGATTTTTGCTCTTTACTTTTCTCAATAAAAAGTGAAATGCAAAAATTAAAACATAAACTGAAAACAAGTGACAAATAGCAAAAAGTAAAAAGGCAAAAGCACCAATCAAATGAAGCCTAAATAACACTGAAGCTTTGCCAGACCTGCTTCCTTAATACTTGAGGAGGTTCCATCCCCCCCCCCCCCTTCTCTCTACACACACACACTTACAAAAGACAAACTGTAATAACTTACCAAATGCCAGTCTTTTTCGAAAGGTCTGCCTCATGTAATTATACTTCTCAGCCACAGAAAGAATGTTGTTAGGAGCATCAAGCTGGGGGGCTTTAAGCTTGTTAAGGCTAAAACAGAATTTGACACCATTAACTCTATTGTTAGGTAATGTGCTGTTTGACATTCCATGTTGGCAGCAGCCACCAACCAAGTAGGGTTGATTCTCTACAAACAAGCGCTTTAAGGATGCAGCAGCAAGGGCTTCAGGTTCTTTCCGGCCTCTTCTACCAGAATGACTGTAAGGCTCTGCACCAAACAAAAAGAAATATTCAAGCCAAAAAAGTATTCAGTTTTGATATAACAATTTCAACAAACTAGGCAGCTAAAATTATAATAATATGGTAGGGCCACAATTGCTGCTTAAGATAGGATCGGATATGATAACTTCACAGGACCAAAACTCGAATATGCAAGGAAATATGTAATCCTGTGAGAGAAGTAGGATTGTATTAACCTACATTGATATGATTATGAATAAGCTTTAAACACTTCACTCATACACATACCCGAAGTAAGATAAAATAAAGGCAATTTACTCATCAACTCAATTAAATCCTATCTATAAGTAACCTGCTGCTAGCTGCCTTAGCCTGTAAAACCCCTTCAGTCTCTGTAGATCTAAGAAACAATGCCAAAGGCCTTTGAAAAAAAGGAGGAAGGTTAATCCCATCATATAGCTACCCATAGAACCAACACGTACACAAGCCATGAGCAAAATTTAAATATACAAAATATGAAATAAATATAAGTATAGCTATCAAAAGTGATATTCAAAATCGCTGATTAAAATTGATTAAGGTAGAAGGAACACACCAAAACTTAAAAGAAAGCAAACACATTGAAAGCAGGGACATCAAAGGAATCAAATTGCAAGGTAGCTAGAATGTCAAAACTACAACTAATGAAAAAAATGTAATGACCAATAGCATACCAGTACGAGCACAACCAGATGGATTCAGAGGCGGAGTGTAGTCAGAATATTGAAGTGCTGTTCTGCCAACTCGTTCATCAGATGCTAATCGATCATTAGATGGCTGCCTATGCTTCTTGCAAAAGGAAAGTAAACGAATACACTGATCTTCATCATCTTCATCTACAGAGAGGAGAAAGAGTCTGTCCTCATCCTCAAGCTATGCAACCATAAAACAAGGCAAATTGAAAGCATATGATCCATGTTATCCATCAGTGACAATGGTTACAATTACTCAAAAGAATGGGAGAAATATAATTGTAAAAGATTTCCTAAACTAATGTCACATAAAGATTGAAACTACCTCAACACAAAGACCAGCAGCACGTGCACAAAGTGGATGATATGCTACCCGACACGTACTGTTTGAACACTGAAGAATGGACATTGTCAAAAAATATATATCAGCATCAAAAGAGGAGGAAAGTTATACATGGTAAATTAACAACTTAAAATGACAGTTCCAACATACTATTATAGGTTAAAGCAAACATCAAGCAGAACCAAAAAGTCCATTGAAGTAGAAATTTTGCATACTGCATGTTGCTTGGACTCAACTATTGGTGTTAGGCATTGGAAGCAACCATGGGTGATATCTGAATCTCTGACTTGATTGCCTTAAACTAAAAGACCAAGGAACATACAATAATATAAAATCCATTAAAAGGGCCCAATTGAAATATGGGTGTGCAGGGACTTGATAAACATTTATTGAAGTATGACATATTTGTTTACTAATATAAAACCAATTAACCTGATTATGAAAAATAATTTCACTCTTGTGATGACTATAAGTAATGGACATGTCGATCAGCTTATCCAACATGGAATTTCATGGTTCTTTGCAAGGGAACAAATTGGAAAAGCTAAATTTGTTAAGCAGAATTAGGTAATTTACGTGTATAATGTTCATAGCCTTTAAAAGTTGAAGTCAAAGAGTACATACCGTTTCCACTTAAAGCCAAAAGAATAGCAACAATGTTCACAAAGAAGAAGAAGAAACCCCAAAAAACCAAAAAGGATGCAAATTATTGTTTCGAACTTTAGGCCCAAAACATAGTATCATCTTATCAGATTTCCAGTCTCCTCTACCTGTCAGTCAAAGAAGCCTAAGAGCTTTCTCTCACATCACAAACATTGCCGCCAAGATGACACCATTAATCAAGCCTCTTTACCTTTCTTTCTCCCTATTTATTTTAGCTTTTCTTTTATTTCTCTTAGATTTCACATATTTCTCCCTTATCTCTCTCAACAGTTCCAGTATGATACTCATGCCTTTTTTCTCTCCTTGCACAAGAGGACATCGTCGACATGAGATCTTGTTTGCTGCCAACAAGCTTATTTTCATGCCATGATTATTTTCATGCCATGAATATTTTTATGCCATGAAGACATGTTCTTGTGTATTCTAGCGTGTCAGAGAGATCCAATCAAGTACAAGATCCAAGTCATATCATTATGGATACTTCTCAATTGTTTACCAGTTCAAGCAAAATAGACAAATTACATGTGCTTAATTAATTTTATATGCTAAAACACATTAAAGGCCCTGTTTCAATAGGCATTGAATTCTCAGATAGCTACCTACCGCCGCTTCCATAATTAACCACAGCTCAAACTAAACATCATATACAAAAAAGTTCTAATGTCAATAAACACCCTGAATGCACATACTTTAACAGAAATTCTATTAAACATCACTATCACATACAAATTAACATAATGAGGGTGGATAAGTTACACAAGAAACTACAGCAGAGAAGAAATAAATCATTATATTAAATATAATAATAGGTTGAATAAGAAAAACCACATATTACTATAAGCTTACTTGAATACAAGCTCCATAAGATACACCACAGATGCTACATAACAGCTTCCAACGGTCCTGTTATACACAACAAAACAATCAGAGAGAAAATGAATTTACATTGCTTAATGTTTTCAAATCAAGGATATATCGAATTTAGCTTTCTAAAAGTGGCCCCATGATCCTCACTAGATAATATTAAAAAGCAGATGATAACTATGTCCTGCGAACAGAAAATATATCCAAAAAGACAGTAAGAGAAGTACCTTGCTGATTCTATTTAGCCCATCAATGGGTTCCATTCTCTTGACATCAGATAGACATGTTTCTGGAACATAAATGTTAAGTCAAAGCATTACGTATAAAATATAAGAAAAAAGAGAAAGTAAATTATTCGGTCACAAACCAGGTATCCATATGGCACAAGCCAGATGAGCCCAACAGCCATCAGTTGTAGGCTTCATCGCTCCCCCTAAAAGAGATTATTCACTGATTCAATGATGTATAATTCTTAGATTTCAACAAGAATTTAAGAAGCCAAAATACCTATAACAGGGCAAAGACAGCAAGGTGGAGGAGACTCGGGTGCCCCAGGGCGGCATAAGTTGCACAACCACAGAATACCATCAACAGGCTCAAGTTCACCATAGCATCTAGCATGAACCTGTACAATCATTAAGTAAGTTAAAATAACTAGAAAATTCAAAAATCAAATTAACCACATACATGTACACCTACATGGCATATGAAGAAGTCTAATATGGAATAAGCAATCAATTTTGACTGACAATTAGTTGTCTGGAAGAAAATAACATAAAAGACAAGCTATTGACATGACTGTTGAAAAGAAGTATTTACCATGATTCTGCATTTGTCACATTGGAGGAACAGATTGTTCTCATACTCCTAAAAACAAAGCAACCTCAGTCAGCAAAACTAAGTCAAGCATCAAAATCATAAGAGGACAAAGCAATTCAACTGGTAACAAGGGCAAAAATGGAAAGACAGACACCTAGAAAAGCATAATCAGTAAGCTCACAGAGTTACAGGAAAAAATTCTCAAAGTAAAAGATGTTAAAAGCAAATAGATCAAGAAATAAGAGTGAAAGAAAACCAAAGTTCGAACAGGTAAACTGGGGTTGCACCTGTGTGGTGTCATATGTGCCATTCAGAGTATTTTCACAGCAATTAGCCCCTAGATATGACAAAATTTTATTTCCAAGAATATTTGAATCATTTAACATATCTATGATATCTGGTAGGCCTCTTAGGTGTCCTATCTTAGGTCTAGTAGATCTTATTCTGATATGGTTTGTTTAAAACTTGTTTGGTTATTAGCAATCCCTTTTTTTTATAAAATTAGTTGGTATTGCATTTCACTTTAGCCTCTCAGTCTCTTATCATAAGATTAGAATTTGAGAAGAATAAGTTTCCTCTTCACATATGTTTTGATATGTCCTTTGATAGTTCTAAGGCAAGAATAGACACAATCTCTAATTACAAAATTGTCCTAAAACATTGACTCAAAGCATCCAATCTAAAACTCAGTCAATGAAGGATAAAAATAAAACAACTAATACCATGAAAAACAGACTAAATAAAAAGAAGATAGTGCTACTGTACCAGAACAGATGAAACTGCCTTTTACCTCATCCATGTGGCAGACACTACACTTATCTAGGTCTTTCCAGTCAACACGAACAGGTCTATAACCAGCAGGCAGGTCTCGATATCTTCCATTGGCTAACTTGAATGCCGAGAACTTTGAAGACAGTCTGGATTTGGACAACCCCTGTCAATATGATAGGAACTCATTACAGCCTAAGAATAACAATAGATTCATGCAAGTATATGACGATGACGCACATTTAAAGGTCTCAACATTTTCAGTCATACAACTAACAAAGAGAAGAACAACAAGATGAAAAAAACAGTACATGTGCTAATTAAACAACAACGAGACTACAAAAGCTGTTTAAAAGCACTAGCTCTTTGGGGAAAAAATTTTGCCTTGAAAAACCATAACCATATATTGTTCCTAACTTAGTTATGAGTTAAACAATTGCAACTCATCTTAGTGAGATAACAGATTCGTGCTTGTAACACTCAGACTGTCATTTAGGCAGGCAGAATAGAAGTAATAACAGTATATGTAAGATTTTGGCTTCATGTCAATATGAGGACCAAAATTTAGCTAATATAAAGGCATTTGTCTCCAGTTTTTAGAAAATCATAGTTTAAAGAATGAAGAGCACAAAATGGAGAGCATAAGTGAACATTTATAAATATCACCTTATAAGGATACCTTCGAGGCTTATCATGTACTACTTCACAGGATGTGAGAAAAAAAACTACATATACAATTAGAATAGATCCACAACCTCGTACTGGACAATCAAAAGTGAAATCTGTACAACACTAAGTGCAACCTCAATTTTAAGGGAAAAAGAAGGTACTGGTATACCTGTATTAATTTTATAACTTCAGGAGTGGAAAAACCAAACATTTCGGAGCCAGATTCAAAGACTCTTTCTGTTCCAACCTTTGAATCATAAGAACAACCATTTTGTCTCTTTCTTATCCTTTTATATATCTTATTCCAACAAGCTGACGGGTCAGGTCCTTCAAACTGAACAAATACTCAACTTAAATTAGGTGCTGCACTCATAATTTTGACAGTAAGTACCAAATTAAACAAAAGCAGAGATGAATAATATGATTACCAGTCCAACAAGGAACGAATGTATGCAAAATTAACCAAATTAACTGAAGGAAAATCTATTGTGGATAAGGATCAAGAAACAAAACAATAAGGAATGCAAATTATACTTTAAAATATGAGTAAGCTCTCACTTCTACAATTTCCTAACATATTTGAATTCAGATACTTCAATTATTACTTCATCCCTTTCTAAATTCTGACTCTGCATGCTTCAAGGTGCCACCAAATTGCACTCAATACCACAGCAATAGGCATTTTCTCCCCTTACACAATATATATAAAAAAAAAAACCCTACCCTGCAACCTTTACAGCTACCAAAGCTTTTGACACATTTGTGGAATCAATTTAGTTGACCAACAGGAACTAAAAGAGTGGAAAGGAAGATGAAAGGAAACTGTGGCAGAAATACATTTGCCCAAGTGGTGACAATCTTTTTTAACTTTGGGATTCAGTGTTGAGTTAACTTCAATGGCCATTAACTTTTTTTTTCCTCATCTTTTATTTATTTATTTTGACCCAACTAGGCCGCAACTACAAGAACTTTCCTTAGCCTCCCTTCAGTGTAAAAGTTCCTCAATAACCTAGAAATCCCTATCATCCCCATATTCCCTGCATAGCAACTGCCAAAAGAGAACCCCTCTTCAGTATCATTATTCAATATTGACATACATGGGAAGACAATTTGAAGTCATACTACTGAGAGATAAGTTCAATGCCAAGAAAAAAGAATATACATGAGTTATGAAGCACTGAGGCCCCTGAATGATGTGATATTCTCCAAAATGAACCCACTATGACAAAGCATTGATGAGGAACAAAGAAAAATGACCACAATACCACAGCATTAGCATCAAAGGTTCAAATTCATAACCAAACATTCTCGTCTAGGAACCTGAAGTAGTCCTTAACAAGCCTCAGAGAGTCATGGACTTCTAATGGTTATTTGAAATCCCAACTATTTGTAAGTGTTATTCCAGATTTCAACACCAAAAAAGAGTCATAACTCTAGATATCTCCCAATACCTATCACATCTGGCTAGTTCTTGGGAAGCAGTTCCCTAAACCAAGAACAAATGATAAAATGATAGCTAATCATTTTATTTAGCTCTACCAGGATGTGAAAAAAAAAAAATGCTGTTTACTAGCATGTCCAAAGTGGCCCAATGATGCATCATAAACAAAATCAGACAAGTAGAAAGCAAAACTCATAAGAAATAGAAAAAGAAAAGTGCAAAACTGTGGCAACATTAGCAAGCGCACAAAAACAAGCAGTGCAGCATAATCCAGCAAATTTAAGATCATGTCATCACATTATACAACTAACCTTCTCTCCCTCATTTGACACCCTAAATAAAGGATGATTCTTTGATTGAGGATCTCTCAACGCTTCCATCCTATACAAGCTACAAACACTTGGATCTACAGCCAAAGAGTGGAAACAGGGACAAAAGAGGTAAAGTCACAGAATGCCAATAAAATAGGATGATCACATTGAGAGAAGAAAAAAAATAAAAAAAGAAAAAGGATTGCATACATAAAAGAAAAAATGCCTTACCTCTCATTGAAGTAAATTTCCTAATGGCAGTGTACCCTTCAGGCCAGATGATCCCATCATCTTGGAAATAATCCGAGTCCTTGACAATTTTTCCTGTAAGAGGCATTCAAGATTCCATTAGCAATAATTAGAGACTTGAAGTTTCTATCTTTTTGACAAGCAGCATTGAATAATCATAAGTAAAATAAAGGGCCACAAAGTTCAACTAAGCTACCTTAATCTCAGTCCAACTGATTGATACCTACTCTAGGAAAGAGTTTTGGCATCAGTTCTTTACTAACTACCTCAACCAGCATAATTACCAGTTTACCTCTGAGCCTCACATACAACAAGCATCTATTTCAGCAGACTAAACAATTTCCCAAAAAATGGAACTCGAAAAGGCAAAAGAAGAATGAAAGAGGGTGAATAGCCAAATGGCTAGCCAACTAGACAACTATATGCAAATTGTATGATGTCTCAACTTATAGAAATACAAAGCAATTCAAGGATACTAGAAATTACCAAGGCTAATTATTTGCAAATCTCCTATTACATATGGAGAATCTCCAGGTCCACCAGGAGGTATCTGAATCCCCTGATCTTTTATGTGATCTGCCATTGAATCTACACTTCCTTCATCCTCAGTACTAGCTTCACCATCATCCACGTCAATTCCATTTTGCAATTGTAACATTCTTCTTGGAAGCTTCTGTTCACTCAGATAGCTGTTTTGTACCAAAAGATTGAAACACAGACATCATTAGCTCTTGCATGCAATTGCAAGAGTGAAAACACCATGCCATCACATATATCACCATTAAAGGCATATTCATTGAGACTAATATTTTAAGAAAAGGGTACAACTAATTAAAAACAGAGAAGGGGTACCACAAAGGAAAATACAAAGACGGATTCTATAGAACCAAACTTAAGTAAGAAACCAAAAGCATAACTGCCAATGACCCTAATCATTTAAAACAAGATGTAGTCACCAAAAGCAAGTCAGATAATACCAAATCAGGTAACAGTCCCCAGGACTACAAGCAATAGCATACAAGTTAAGAATGGAGAGAAAGGATGATTAGGAGGCATATGCAATAACCTTAAAAGAGCATCACAGCAGAAACAATTGAAATGGGCATGTTAATCTCATTGCAATTAGAATAATGGATATGTTCAAAGAAAGAATTTTTTTTTCTTTGCTGTATTCTTTTTTGTAAGTCACACTAAATGAACTTTTAGCAAAAAGACCTAGATGGAAATATAACTTACAGTTTTGCTTCTTCCAAGCCCCTTGTAAAACGAGGTTTCTTGCATTTTCGATGGAATGAAGAAAGAAGTCCTTTGAGAAATGAAACCACTTGTTTCATTTTTATTCTGACAATTACAAAAGAAACCGATTATATCAGCCCTCGAGAGATATAAGTCCAGCATCAATGCTAAACAAGAATATTATGTCTAGAAAAATTAAAAAACATATAAACCTTGCAAAATCATGGGTGCCAAAAAATTGTACTGGAACTGATCTTCCACAAGAAATCTTGCTTAAACCTTTACGATCACCAACAAGTGATTCATCTACCACAATTGCTGGCCACATAGCATGACCTGCACTACAGAAATCAAAAGATAAGCTGGTGGAAAATATGGAAATCACATGGATGGATTCATTATTGACCTCAAAGAAAATTAATTCAGTATTTAAACCACGAGAAGATATATTTATAAGACAAGACCTCCAGACACGTATTAAGTGTTATCAAATTCTAAGACAAACTAAGTTTCAATAAAATTACGACCATCGGAGACTAAGAATGATCTAGTCCTTACAAATATCTCATGTCATGATATTAAAAGGCATTCTATAGTAAGTTGTAACTATCTCCAATACTAATAGATGAATCAGATAGATTTAGCACAAACCAGTAAGTTTTGCCCATATAATATCCCCAGGTTCAAGTTCTTGGCAATCGTCTAGACTGGCAGCCAACGCAACCATCTCATCATAATCATAACCGTCATCATTTGTACTATTAACACTGATACTCAGGTTCAAGCGCTCCATCTCATCATGAGAAACATGAAACTTTAGTTTCTCATTAGAAAGCATCAAATCTTCCTCGTCTCCATCCTCATATTCAACCTGCATTTGAACTTGTCAAGTAATGAACAAACTGGCACATGAAGTAAAGAACATTTTACACCATTAAATGCCAAAACAATTTGTATAATCAGAAAATGGAAAAAATAATAAAAAAGATAAGACAGACATACATGATGCCTATTAGTCTCTGCATTGTATCGAACAACTCGACCCGAATACCAATCAGCATCCAACGGCCAAAAAACCTGCACCCAACAATATTTATGTCAAGAAGCATGTAAATTCAATGTTTAAAAATGCAATTTCAAAGAGCCATCAAAATGCTTGCCTTGCATTGCAACCCAACGAATGCTTTTGGATCAACACCATCAAAACTCAACCTATTCAAGTTACAATTTTTCACCGTTAATATAACCAAAATACAATTAAATAATCGATATTTACAAATTAGGAAAAAAAAAAAAAACACAACAATGCCTTTCACATCAAGACTGCAACCATCTAAACCTAATTAACTATGACTCCTCTTAATTATTGCTTTAGCTATTAACGTTTTGCTTCCAAGCAAAAACAAATGTCAGAAATCAAAATCATGACTGATTAAAAATAAACAAAATAAACATAGACGCAACGACAATTCCTAATCAGTAGTTTCAATTTCAAATACCCACTTGTCTTTGCATAATATTCAAATGCACTTTTTGCTTTTGCATCTGGAAGCAAAATTCATTAGCAAATGCAACAACCAAATGGAGCCTAATGAAATATATAAATCAACAATACGATTAACTTAAGGTAATGTCCTCAACATCTACTCAGAAACATTAAAAAAATGAAACAAATTTATAATATTAAAAAAAAAAAAAAAACTGACCTGATCCATTTCTTAGCAGTAGCAGAACCAGTGAAACCCCGTTGCGAATTTGGAGTAGAATTATGCTTCCTTTTCTTAATAGAATTACTATTAACATTATTAACGCTATTATTAATTCTACAATCCCTCAAACGCGGGCGATCCAACTCACAGTAAATACTCGAATCAACCCCTAATTTGGCCAACTCATTACACCCAACCCTCCTCTTTTTCCTAAAGCTCTCATCCAGTTCACATTTGACCATCGTTTCGCTCTCACCTTGGAGCAAAGAGTCGTAGAAAGAGAGGCATTGGCGAGGCCGCTTAGGTCGGCGAGAGTAGACATGCAAGAGCGGGGGATTATGGGGTTTGAGAAGGCGTTGGTGGTGGTGGTTGTCGACGATGAGTTTACGAGCTTTGACCTTTTTGGACATGACGTTGGAGGAGTTAGTGGCGCTGACGCAAAGGGAAGCGGCGGAGTAGACGCGGTCCAAGGAAACGTAGCGAATCGGAGTGTCGACGTCATCGTCATCTCCTTTTTCGATAAATGCCATCGCTTGGAAGAGAGGGTTAGGATCTGAAGGGAGGGTTTTGGGAGGTAAAGGAAAAGAAAAGAGTTTTAGGGTTTAAAATAGGGATTTGGGGGAATTTTGGAGGGAGCGGGTGAGAGAGAAGGGGGCGCTAACGCTCTAGCTTTGGCTTTCCTTTTTTTGTTTTTTTTTTGGCCCCAAAAATTATCGCTTTCCCGCCGAGGAAGAAAAAATGGTGTTTGGCAGCTTTCATATGCTTGCTAGTTAGGCTCTTAAGCTTTAGCCTTTTACCCTGTGAGAAGGAACTGCAAGGCAGTAAAAAAGAAGGAAAAAGAACACTGTCTAAACTATTTTTATTCATTTTCTTTAAAGAGCATTTGGTTTGCGAATCTTGAATTCTAAAAAAAAAATATGATACTCACAAAAGTTTGATACCCAATATTTTATTTGATTTTTAAGATATTTCATACTCATAATCACTCGTTTAGTCACAAAGAATTCTCATTTATTAATTTATATATATTTATTATAATTTCCTTCAAGCAACTTTTTATTTTGTTTTAATAATAAATTCTCAAATAATAAATGATATATTTAACAGCTAAAAAAATAAAAATTTTAAATTCTTTTAAATTAAATATACTCATTTACGGTTCAAACATAATGTCATATTTACCTAAATAAAATATACAAAAAATTTTGTTTAATGCATTTGGAAAAGATGACCGTCTTATTTGATTTGATTTTATAATTGAAATACTTCTTAATTACGACATTTAAGACATCGAAATGCCTTAAATAAGTGCTCTTTTTAAATTGATAAAACCACTCAATTATAGCATTTGGAACATATTATTTGCAAAAACTTAGCTTTATTTTTAAAAAGTCTTTAATTATGACATTTTATTTAATATAAACACATTAATTATTATTTTTTCTCAATTAAGGCATTTGTTTAATATGAATACCTTAATTGAGATTGTTCGATGAATCCAAGAAAACTCCTCAATTAAGGTGTTTGTCCAATATAAACACCTTAATTGCTTTTTTTCTTAATGAAGGCGTTTATTTAGGATGAATATATTAATTGAGATTGTTTAATGAATCTAGGATATTTCTTCAATTAAGACATTTGATTAATATAAACGCCTTAGTTGATAATATTTTAAATCAATTAAGGTATTTTCTTTACATAAACATCTTAATCAAGTAATTTTAAAACCATAAACCCATTCACTTTTCATTCTTGAACCTTAAAAACCTAAACAACTAAAACCTTTAAAACAATAAAGGAATCATTCGTGTATTTTGCAAACCATAAACCCATTTACTTTCTATTTTTTGTTTCTTCATCTTCCTCGTTACCGCCAACTTTGTTACCATCATCTCGTCGTACATTGTCTAACTTTGGTATGTGCAAAGTTTTTTTCCTTTTTTTTTTTGTTTATTCATGTATGGATGCCTTTCTTTTTTTCTTCCCTAATATATAATTATATATATATATATACATCTATCATCGTCACCATCGTCCCACACATTCCCTACATTGCATGCATGGTTTTTTTTTTTTGTATGGTTGGATATTTTTGGTTTGCCAATTAGTTGGATTTTTGTGGTATGCATGGCTGCATTGTTATATGATTTTCATAATTTTCATTGATGTATTTCATTGATAGATGCATGGTTTGCTGATTGGTTTTGTTCTGTGTATTGCATATTGGTGTATTACATGTGTATTTATTGTGTTGGATATTAGTTGTATTTACTATGTGAATATGTAGAAAAAAAGTTTGGTGTATTGCATTTTGGTTAGTTTCTTAAATTTTATATAATTCTAATCAAAATCGCAGGTAGTATGGCTTTAGAAAAACATTTGTGTCCCTCTACCAAACATGAAGAAGACACACTAGCATTAAAAAGGAGAAAATCAAGAGGAAGTGATAAATTGCTTAAAGTGAGTGAGACAAAAATTCATGTAGAGTTCAATTAAAAAAGGTGACCTGTGTTAAATGGAGGGGCAAAGTTGGCCAACCACATTGAAGCTGTCATTCGACAGAGGATATCCATTACCTACCCTAGTTGAAAGATGATTCCAGATGATAAAAAGGACAATATATGGGATTCAATTTTGGTAAGTTTTGTCATAACGTCTAAATCTAGGATCTATCGTTTGGCATTGACTTAGGAAGTCACTACCAATCTTTTTTATTTAGGTGCAATTGACCACCTAAAGAATTTATCATTTCAAGGAATACTTAAGCTTAAGGGTCCCTAAAAGAATAGGTTTGGATCTATTAACCATAACAGAGTTTGAGAGTTCGGTTACGAGTAAGGAAGGTTATAGTGCCTTCACAACTCCCATCAAAAGATGGTACCAACTCAAATTCGTGTTATTCAATAAGCATTAAAAATTACTAAGTAATTAATTATTTGAAATTATCCTTAATTAACTCCAATACTTTTAACAGAAAATTAAAAAAATTCATTCACCTTAAGAGTATGCAAGAAAACTAATGTTTTTCTTGCAAAGGCTCTATCGTCGGATTATTTAACATTTAAAAATTTTTCAAAGAAAAAAAGAAAAAAAATAATGATTCGACTTTTGATATAAATATTTTTCTTTTTGTTTTATATAAAAATAAACTCATTACTTTTGTACAAGGAAAATTGATATTTTCAATTTTTCCTTAAAGCATTTGTAAGTTTTTATTTTAAGTAAAATTGTTACTTTTAACTTCTCCTCATAATGTTTTTAAAATTTTTTATTTTAGAAAATTTATTTTAAGGAAAATTGATACTTTCAACTTTTCCTCAAAATACTTTTTTTTTTGAAATTTTAATTTAAAAAAAAATTGATACTTTCAACTTTTTATCAAAAAACCTTTTTTTTTAAATTTTAATTTAAAAAAAAATTGATACTTTTAATTTCTTTTCAAAAATATTTTTTTTGATAATTTTATTTTAAGAAAAATTAGTACTTCCAATTTTTTCTCAAAAATATTTTTTTATATTTTTATATATTTTAAATTTATTCATGCAAAAATACTTTAAAAAAAACAAACACATAAATAAAAAAACTAAAAATATAATAATAATAAATAATCAAACACATAAAAATTTAAAAAATACCAAAAAATTTGAAAACGGCTCGACTTAAGGGTTGGCACAACTCGAGTCTAAACACAGAAAACGGCTCAAAAGTGCGGCTCAATGGGAAATCGGCTCGGCTAAAGCCCAGGCAGGGACGCAGGTTGCTGGTTCGGATCACGCTACGGGTCGAGTCAAATCTTGGTAAAACGTGCGGATCCTGTTTAAGTGCTGACTCAAAACGACGTCGTTTAGCATGCGTATAAAAGGGAAAATTTTCTTCTTTCCTTAAATGTTTCTCGCGTTCTCTCTCTTCTCTGCTCTTTCTCTCTTTAAGTGATTTTCGATCATCGTTTTTGGTTGAATGTCACTAGGAAAATCTTCAGTTTCTAAGTTATATTGTCGGAAATTGGATTTCTCATCGAACAATCACCGAAAAACTTGAATTTTCGTCAAAAATTTCACCGGATTCTGAAAATTTCTAGAAAAAACAAAGCCAAAAATTTCAAAAAAAATTTCTAAACTTCCTAAGACTGCTAAACACTCTTTCTTTGCTTCTGTTTCTCCCTATTTTCTTTTTTTTTTCTGTGTATTTTTTTTCTGTGTATCTATGGATCTATTTATAAGCTTTAAAACCACATACTCCAAAACTGAATAGGAATCTCAATTTCCTTTGGACTTCAGTCCTGTTCAATATCTTTCAGTTTATCTCAAACTCTTCAATCCCAGTTTTACACCAATTCAACCACCTTTTTTATTTTTATTTTTATTATTTTTTAATTAATTAACAAAACCAAAAAACAGACCCCGGACAGATTGGGTGTCTACAGCTGCCCCTCTTTGCACGTTTCCTGTGCAACAGGAATTGTGCAAAGACGTAGACACCCCACTTATGCCAACACATTCTTTTTTTTTTTTTTAACAGTTGAAACACCTCTAAGCAGAGGTTCACAATCCCTTTCTTTTTTTTTCTTTTTTTTTAGAGTGAACAAATAGAGGCTCAACAACTTTTAAAAAATAAACAAAGCTCCTCTAAACAGAGGCTCAATGACTTTTAAAAAATAAACAAGGCTCTTCTAATTAGAGGCTCAATGACTTTTAAAAATAAAACAAAGCTCCTTTAAATAGAAACTCAACAACTTTGAAAAATAAAATAAAAGCTCATCTAAATAGAGGCTCAACGACTTTGAAAAAATAAATAAAGCTCCTTTAAATAGAGGCTCAATGACTTTGAAAAAATAAACAAAGCTCCTCTAAACAGAGCCACCACAACTTTGAAAAATAAAATGCTCCTCTAAATAGAGGTAACCATAACTTTAAAAAATAAAATGCTTCTCTAAACAGAGGCACCATAACTTTTAAAAAATAAACTGCTCTTTTAAACAAAGGCACCACAACTTTGGAAAATAAATTGCTCCTTGACGATTATGTCCAAGGGAGTCATAGATCAAATCAGATGAAATTTGTAATGAAAAACTCAAAGATTTACAATTTAAGTTTGAAAGTCAACCATTCAGATTCGTAAGAACCTTTCAACTTCGTAAAAATTCACTAAAATTTAATTCTTAAAATTTCAGTTTCACAAGGATTCAAATTTGTAAAATCTCAATATTCGCATTTGCAAATTACAAGATTCGCATCAATATTTAAAGATTCTCATTTGAATTTTGGAGATTCAAATCCAAAAATTTTAAAGTTTCTCATTCGAGTCTAAAGGCTCACATTTGACAAATCTTAGGATTGCACACCACAAAGATTTTTATTCAAAACTCAAAGATTCTCATTTGAGTTCGAAGATTCATAGTTTACAAATTTTGGGTTTCACACATCAAAGATTCTCATTTGAGTTTGAAGATTCACATTCGATAAATTTTGAGTTTCACACCTCAAAGATTCTTATTTGAGAACTCAAAAATTCCAAAGATTCTCAATTTCTTTTTCAAGTGACTCAAAATTGTGCATACAATAAATGTCATGATCAAAGATGCAAATACCTTTTTAATGATGTAAATGCAACAACCTAGATTCTCATAATGTCATGCATGTCTAGACAAAGTTTTAATTCATCAAATTATGTGCATGTACTATTTAAACAACGATGCTTACATGATGCATGCAATGCGAATGTCAATAATGTCATGAAATTCTAAACAACTATGGTAATACGGCTCTCAAAACTCCATCATTTTGACCTTCTTAGTACTAGCCATCTTAGAATAAATTTTATCTTCTATCACTTAGTCATAACTCATAAACTTTTCAGTACAAATTTC